GGAAATATATATATATACATACAATGGAAAGAAAGAGAGATAAAGAGAAACACATGCGGCAAGTTAACTACATATAATGTATACATTTGTTTTATTTATTTTTCAGAGAAAGAGAGACAGAGGATGATGGGGGAGGGGCAGAGAGAGACTGGGCAACACAGAATCTGAAGCAGGCTCCAGGCTCCGAGCTGTCAGCACAGAGCTCAACGTGGGGGCTTGAACCTGTGAACCACGAGATCATGACCTGAGCCGCAGTCAGATGCTTAACTGTCCGAGCCACCCAGGCACCCCTAATCATGTATAATTTAGATGAAGGATTTATATAATTCAGATGAAGAATTTCGATTAGGTAGTTGTATCATACTTCTAATTTTTCTGTAGGTTTTTTTTTTTTTAAGGCATCTCTACACCCAAAGTGGGACTCGAACTCATGACCCGGAGATCAAGAGTTGCACCCTTCACTGACTGAGTCAGCCAGGAGCCCTTTTTCTGTAGGTTTGAAATATTTATAAATTGTAAGTTGGGATGAAAGAGAGATAGTGATCATCGGGGCAAAAAACAACTACCAGGTCCTATAAAAGCAGAACAGGGGAGAGAGGGACATGTACATTGGCTTGGCAAAGAGCAGTTCAAGACGTTGTGAGGATGGAAGCCAGATTGTATGGAGTAGCAGGTGAGGGGTGAGAAAGACAGGGTCTGTAGACAATCCATTCAAAAGTGTGATTGTAAACAGGAGGGGAAGGGGATAGATCAGGGAGTGTTTGTAAATGATGGAAAATCCTTCTGTGTGTTTAAGTCAATGAGAGAAAGCTCCTGAAGGCTCAGGAGAGAAAGGTGATGCTGAGTCAGTAGATCCCAGGGCAGGCACGGGATCCCAGGCGCCAAGGCTGAGTGAGCCTCAGGCAGCAGAAAGCACATCTGACCGACCGAACAGGAGAAAGGGGGGAAGGGGCGCACAAAAGGGGTGAATGAGAGTGTGTACATTTAGGGGCACAGAGTGGGGGAGGGAGGAAGGCTTTTCTGATGATGCCTTCTATTGCTCCAAATCTGGAAGCAAGGTCGTCTACTTAGAGACAGGGAGGAAGACAGAAAAGGATTTGAGCAGAGTGGAGCATAGTGGGCCCAAGAGATCACTGCTCAGAAACATGGGGCTGCTGGAGATTTGTTCAGTGACCCTCCTTCCTGCGTGCACCTCCCATTTATAATTTCTTAGAGCTCTAATTGGGCCACTTTGTGCTATCCAATGAGGACTTTTCTTGCCACATAAGGTCTTGGATCAAATCACGTCATAGATGGTTGGTTGCCTTACTGTTACTTCTGGTTTCATGGTCCGCGTGGTAAAGGTGGATTCCTTCAACACAGGAGGCCCATGTAATAGCACGTTTGTATAGAAATAATCCCGAGGGGGCTATTCTCCGAAAGAGGCTCTGGGTGCTGCACCAGCACGGGTAGAGAGTGCTCGTGTTATCAGTTCCAGATTCACCTCTTCTGGCTGGGAACAGATAGACTAGATTTCGTATCCCCTCCTCCCTCTCTTATTCAGCTCTACGACATCTGCGTGAACAGCCCTGAACACCGTCGAGCCTCTCGGCCTCTCTACTGATGTGGCTGTGTGCTTGGATGGGGGTAAGCAGAAGAGTCGTGCACTACTTCTAGGACCACCCCGTATAAAACCTGTCTCGCAGGGGCGCCTGGGGGGCTCAGCTGGTTAAGCGTCTGACTTTGGCTCAGGTCACCATCTCACAGTTCGTGGGTTTGAGCCCTGCTTCAGATTCTGTGTCTCCTTCTCTGCCCCTCCCCCACTTGTGCTCTGTCTCTCTCAAAAAAAAAAAAAAAGTGTTAAAACCTCCGACTCCAGAGCCTTGTTTTCTTTCTCCTTTCACTGGCTGAATGCGGAGGTCGTCCAGTGTCTAGGTGAAGGGAGAGCAACAACCCAGAAGGTGCCTGGGTCCTTGAATGGCTGCATTGACTAGGGCTCCAGTGCTGGCCTGCACCGAACTGGGATCTAAGCGAGAAATAAATTTGTACTTTATTAGACTGTTGAGATTTTGAAGTTGCTACACTATTTTAGCTTGTGTCACCCATAAGACCTGTTATATGAGTTGAAGGTTGATTATCACCACACTCCGATCATCTGATTTGCACATCTCCCCGGGAGAGAAGTACTACTGGGTGGCCCTAATTAATATTTCTGTTGGTTGCTCTGTTGGCTGCCGGGAACCCATCTTCCCTTCGAGGGGCTGGCTGGACAAGGGCAATATTCACCTTTTAGACTCTTCTTTCCCCCTCTGCTTCCTGGGTCGGTACTCTAACCACCCGTGTTTTAGTTAGATATATATTTGGAGATGGGGAAGTTCAGGTGGGGGTTTGACTTTCACTTTCACAAGGAACAGTGAGAGGAAGCCTTTCTCCTCCAGCTCCCTTCCCTTCTCCAGCCTCTTCCCGCCACCGTGGAAGGTGGCCCTCTTCCCCGGAGGGTGACTGATGCAGATTTGGGAGGTGGTTCATGGTTGCCTTCTTAAATGTTCCCAGAACTGTGCCACAATTTAAGAACCTTTTTTTTA